TAGCTTAATGCCTACATCGCTGGACTCCCTCCCACATAGTCGACCGTGGTTCGCGTCCCGGACCCAGTGGCTTCACGCCGGGCACGTGTGCGTGCATGCCCAAGATCCCGAGAGGAGAATGAAGAAGGGATTGCGGCATGGCCATCCCCCCTAAGGGGGTGATTTCTCGCTTTCTGTCTCTCTGTCTGTCTGGCGAGCACACGTGCCCTATAGCAAAAACCTCTTAAAAAAAGAAAAAGAAAATGTGACCAGAGAGGGACAGAGTGAGAGCAGAAATAAGAGAGAGAAAGTAAGCCTCCAGATTTTGGACTTGAACTGTGGTAGGCCATATGGGAGTCCAGCGCCCTTAACTACCATGTCATGCCACCTGCCAGGTCCATGGGATATTTTTAATAACACAGAGGAACGTATCTCTTAGACAACACACATGCACATCAGAAGCTGCTTTGTCCTAAATCTGAAATCATAGTAGAGAGATGCTTCTTAATATGCTGAAAATACACAAAAAATGCCATTTGTGCTATTCATGTTTGTAACTTTCTTTCATAGTGCTTCTTAAACAATGTTTTAGTTTTTCAGATGGAGTTCCTTCAGATTCCATGGAAGCTGCCAAAAATGCAAGTAATACAGGTCAGTTCACTACAAAGCTAACAGTTGGAGAGTCTTCATGCATAGTGGGGAGTCTTTACTCTAGAGCCATTTATTATATATATTATTTTTCTTTAGCGAGAGATTTTTGCTGTAGTGCTTGTATACTTGCAAGAGAGACAGAGAGAGAGAGACAAAAGCGAGAATTCACCCACAAGGGGGGATGGCCATGCTACAATCTCTTCTTCTCCAATCTTCTCTCAGGATTTTGGACACACACACACACACACACACACACACGTGCTCGGCATGAGTTTTAAGCCATTGGGTCCAGAACTAGAACCACATTTGATTGCATGGCATTCCAGCAATATAGCCATTATAGCATCTGCTGGTCCTTTCTTTCTTTCTTTTTTTTTTTTTTTAATTCACTGTAGGGCACATGAGTTTGCCAAAGAGAGGGAAAATGAGAGCGCACCCTCCAGAGGGGATGGCCATGACAACCCCTTCTGCTCCGTTCTCTTAGGATGTTGGACACACATGCACATATACCTGGCATGTTTTTCAAGTTGCTGGGTCTGGGAGTCGAGCCACACAATTGGTCATGTGGGATTTGGCCTCCTTAACTTCCACACCAACTGTTGTCCTCCTCCTCACCCTGTTTTTAATTGCTGGAAGGTATGTGCACCCACCTGAGATAGTGAGAAGGAGAAAGCACTCTCCAAGGGGATGTGGTCATGCTGCAGTCTCTTTTACCTCTGTTTTTTTCTGTCCTGTTGGGATTTGGGGTACACATGTATCCAGTGTTTATAAAGCCATTGGGGCCAGGATTTGAACCACTGTTGAACATATCAGATCTGGATCTCCTAACCAGTAGGCCACAATACCATCCTAGTGACCTGCTTGCCTGCTTCTTTCCCTCCTCTCTCCTTTTTTTCCTCCCTTCCTCCCTCCTTTTCTCCCCCTGCCTTCTTTCCTTCCTTCCCTCAATATTTTTGCCATGAGTACATGCGCTTGCCAGAGAGAACAGGAATGAGAGAGGGAAAGCAAGTGTGCACCCTTTGAGGGGGGCATGATTACATGGCAGTCTTTTCTCTTTTTCTAACCCCGTTTAGGATTTTGGGCATGTGTGCGTGCAAGCATGCATGCACACACTCACCCTTGGTGTGTATTTCTAGCCACCAGGTCAGGATTGAAACTGCACAGTTGGCCATGTGTTATCCAGCTGGCTTAACTACCAGGCCATGAATTAGTCTGCCGTTTTTCATCTATACCCTTAACTTCCTTTTCCTTTCTTTTTTTTTTTTAAAGAAACTTCCAGATAACATATTTTTCTCGTAAATCAATAGATCTGAGATCTTTCCCCATTAAGAAATCTATCCATACACTCCTTTCCCTCTTCTTCATACTTGGTTTATAAGTCCTTTTTGACATATCTTCATTGGTTTTTGAGCAACTTAAAGCATTGTAGCACAATGTGGGACCAACAGATAGATGACATAATGGTTATGTGGCTGTACTACCACATAGTCAACTGCGGTTTGAATGCCAGACCTGGCAACTTAAAACTCATGCCAGGCTTGTGGTTTGCCCTAAATCCCTAGAGGAGAATGGCGGAAAAGGAATTAAGATGTGGCCATACCCCCTGGAGGGTGACTTCTTGCTTTCTGTCTCTCTGGTGAACGAGCACATGTGCCCTGTAGCTAAAATCTAAAAACAAAACAAAACAACTCTAGCACAATGTGGTGTTCCATTTTACCTTGAACTTTTCTTGCCAAAAACCTGGAATCCAATATTTATGCTTGTTCCTTTCAGTGAGGAAAGGTGTTTAGAAACCAGAATACAAATGCTAGATATTATTTTGTTTTGCTTTGTGCTTTTAGTTTTTGCTATAGGGCATGTGTGCCTACCAGAGAGAGAAATTACCCCCTTGGGGAGATGGCCATAGCACAATCCCTCCTCCTTTCTCCTTTTGGATATTTGGCATGCATACGCGAGCCACTGGGTTCAAGACTTAAACCATGAAGTTGGCCATGTGACATTAAGCACCCCACCCCGATTTATTTATTTATTTATCCTTATTCTTACTTTTTTTTTTTTTAAAATTGCCACTGAACATGTGAACTTACCAGAGAGACAGAAAGAGAGGGAAAGTGAGAAAGCAAACTGCCAGATCCAGGACTCAAACTGCAGTTGGCCATGTGGGATTTGAGTGCCTTAATCACCACACCACCTACTGACCCCAATGTGATTGTTCGTAGGTCCTTCCAGTGGGCAGAACTAGGGGGGGTATTGTATATATGTATATGTAGTATGTATGTATTATGTATGTGTACAGTTTTACACATACAAAGTTATGTCCATTAAATACACATACATGCTGCTTGTTGGTGGTTGTGTTTGTAATTCTAAATGCTAAAATTGAGTGCCTGATTGGTGTGTTTAGCTTGTCCCCCATCACGGGAGAACTCCCAGATATGTAGTCCCTTTTGAGCAAGGAAAGATAAGAGTGCAAAGTTTGGATTTCTCTATTGTGTCATTAAGAGGTAAATTGTTAATCAGATACTTGGCTACCCTGTGAGCCAGCTATTGTACCACTCCATAGTCATTGGTGAGTGAAAGCATAGTATGTATTCTCAGTATCTCATTGGCTTATTGTGAAATGGCCTCTAAAAATAATAAGGAACTTGGGATCAGCAGATGGTGTAATACTTATGTCTCTGGACTCCCACATGGTTGACCACAGTTTGAGTCCTGGACCCAATGGCTTGAAGCTTACGCCAGGCGTGTGTGTGTCCATGCCCAGAATCCCGAGACGAGAATGGAGGAGAAGAGGTTATGGTGTGGCCACCCCCCGGGGGGGGGATGGGATGATTTCTCGCTTTCTGCCTGTCTCTCCATTGAGCACATGTACCCTGTAGTAAAAATATCTCTTAAAATAATAAAGAACTTGGTTTATAAATTTAGTAGAGATGTGTATAAGGTATAAGAGGAGTGGAATGGTCAGGGAATACTCCATGGAGGAGGAGGGCAGAGGGCATTCAGAGCAAGGACAAACCACTGTGCAAAGACAACTGGGAAATACTACACTGTCACAGAGCTAGGGAGAGTTGACTTTGGGGGGTTGTGAAGTGACTAGGGGCACAGTGGATGCTGTTTTACTTTGAGGAACGGATCTCATCCTTGGTGTTGGCTTTCAAATACCACTCTGGGGAGAAAGGAGAATTAAGTGGTGATAGGTCACTTGAACTTAGCAATTAATGAATGATGTCTTCAACTGAGAAGTTCGAGTTTAAACAGCCACAGGTGAGATCCAGGACCCTGGGCATCCCTTCAATAGATTTGCAGCCATTCACTTGGGTGATTAACATACTGCATTAAATGCCCTTAAAATACATTTTAATTATTTTTAAGAAGTTTGCTGTATTTAGAAATTAATGTAGGTAAGCAAAGCTAAATTAATGAATACATAATGATAATTTTTGACTCTTACTGTTTTTTGATGGGCATATTTTAAACACTTTTGGCCTTGTTTTTAACTCTTAATAGAAAAACTCACAGATCAGGTGATGCAGAATCCTCAAGTCTTGGCAGCTTTACAGGAACGACTTGACAATGTTTCTCACACTCCCTCCAGCTACATCGAAACGTAAGTATGCTGTGAATACTGGATACAACTTCAAGATAACCAAAATGGAAACAAAGAAAAAACATTTTCCAATTCCTCAGAATAGAAATAAATGGGATTTTCATTCCACAGACATTGCCTGCTGAGAGCCATGCTCTGAGAATCCAAAGATTCTGTCTGGATGAGGGAATAATTCATTGTGCAAGTTGTGTTGATGAATAGGAACTGCACAGTGCCATCCTGTGGAGGTTTAGAGGACTTCACAGATTTGAATCAGGTCGAGGACAGAATGGTTTCTGTTCTTGTTGATGCTTTAGCTAAGAGAACCTCTTCTTCCAGCCTTAATACAAGAGCATGCATCACAAGTACCTTTGGTTTTCAACGGGAAGCCTGTGTCCTAGTTGTACTGCATGGTTAAGATAAAGTTGTCCATCTTGAAATTTTAGGTCAGTTCTTCTCAGGGCCTGCCTACCTTTCTGTCTTCTTGAAAGGATGAACCATTTCTGGGCTTCTCTGTGCAGTCAGGTTAGGGCTTGGTCTCAGAATGTCCAGTCCTCTAAATGGGTTCCCCCAATCAAGACTTGTTAATATTTCCCCAAGCATTATGGGGGGAGGGGATGCCTGAAGTTTGCTTTGCCCATATAGAGAGCTCTCTGAGGATTGCTTAGGTTTGGTGACATATTTTTATGCAGACAGAATCATTGGATCGTAGTGATACTGATCGAGAGTGACGGATTGAGAATGAGTAATGAGTGGTTTCTAGTTTTCTGGCGTTATAAGGGTGAGTTCATTAAGAGGAACTGCAGGAGTGGGACCAAGTTTTTGCAGAAATAGAACTGGTTCCATGTTGACCATCTTGCATAATATTTGCCTTCTGGGGATAGCAGTGTATTAGGTCGTTGGGAAGGTCATGATATATTTTTCTGTTTTTCTATGCAAAAATGCTTTCTGACTTTCCCAGTAACCCAGTATAATCAGTTTAAGTAGTTGGAGGACTGTGTGGGTAGACACCAAGGCCCAGTTTCTTAGAATCCCTTGTCATTTTTACTTCAGGTAGGAAAATTTCAAAAGTTACAGAACAAATTGTTTAGTTAGTACAGATGTCATTGTGGGTCTACCCTATTATTACTCTACCTTTCCTTTTTTTTTTCATTTTACCAGCAACAGTCTAGAATGTGAAACATCAGTGGGAAATCTTCGATTAAGGATTTTTTTTTTTTTAGGTTTTTGCCTTAGAGCATGTGTGCTTGCCAGAGAGACACAGACAGAGGGAAAGTGAGGAATCATCTCCTAGGGGGATGGCCACGCTACAGTCCCTCTTCCAGTCTTCTCCTGAGATTTTGGGCTTGCTTGCACATGGGCTTGGCATGATTTTGAAGCCTCTTGGTCTGGGACTGAAAACATGGTTGGCCATGTGAGAGTCCAACACCTTAAATACTACACCACCTGCTGGCCCCTAGTTAAGTACTTTGAATGTGAGGTAGCTATGGGTATGATTAACCCAGTGGTCATTTATGATTCGAGGCTGTTATTGTAGTACTTTCCAAATAGTCACATGTATAAGTTACTCTTGCTAGTGTACACTGTGTCTGGAGGACAAGTAAAGTTCTTAGACTATTACTGGCTTCATACTTTAGGACTCAGTTTACGTACCTCAGGAATCAGTTTACGTGAAGAGGTATTTAAATGCTGGACACAGGGTCCTTCCAGGTTAATACTTTGAGTTCGTGATGAGGCCCAGGAAATTTGTTTTTGGTCACCATGATTGTGAGCAGTGGCTTTATTTTATAATAGTCACAGAAGATAATGCACCTGTGACAGGGTCTCACTGTATAGCAGTCTCCTTTCTTCATTTCTCTACCTCCTTAGGATCTGGGGTACCCATGTGTGCAACGGAGTGTTCAGACTGTGCCACCACAACAAATTATTTATTTATTTTCTAATGAGCCTTTTATTAGGATACCTACACTTTCCAGAGACAGAGAGGGAGGAAAAGTGAGAAATCCCTTAGCAGGAAGAATGCCCTTAGTACAATCTCTTCTTGAGATTTTGGGCACATATGCACAGCACCTGGTGTTCTTCGAGCCACCGGATCTGGGACTTGAACTGTGGTACTTTGTGTGGGACTCTAACACTTTAACCACCACACCACCTATTGGCCCCTGAACAGTGGGTTTAAAAATTTTCTCCTGGGATGGCTTGTGACCTGGTTAAGGCAACTAGATTTCTTGGATCTCTTGGTCAGCCTGAAAACATGCTGGGTATGTTACTGAGCTCAAATTAGGTTTACTTGCCCATACATGCCCAAGATCCCAATAAGCTGAAAGGCTGAGGAAAGAGGATCCCAGTATGACAAGACCCTGTCAAGGTTGCATCCCTCCATCCTTCCCTCCCCTCTTGCGTGCATACACATGCTTTCTCTGTTGTAATAAAAAGTAATGCATACATATGGAACAGAATTGAGAGGCAAAAAAAACCTGATAGATGCATTTCATTCTGGGAGAGAACGGACCTCCCTTGTGAGTGTTTCTCAGCTTTTGTTTTGTGAGTTGTTGGAAAAGTCATGATGCATTTTCGCATAGAGTAGGGAAAAAAGTCATGACTTTCTCAACAATTATTTATATATGTGTGTGTGTGTGTGTGTGTGTGTCAAAAGTTACAGAACAAATTGTTTAATTAGTACAGATATTAGTGTGTGTCTACCTTTTATTCTTATTCTACCTTTCCTCTTTTTTTGGGAGAGGTTTTTGCTATAGAGAGCGTGCACTTGCCAGAAAGACAGAGACAGAAAGCGAAAAATCACCCCCCAGGGGGGATGGCCACACCACAGTCCCTTCTCCATTCTCCTCTCGGGATCTTGAGCATGCACGCACACGCACTTGGCATGAGTTTAAGCCACCAGGTCCGGGACTCTTAACTGTGATCGACTACATGGGAGTCCAGTGATACAGTCATTACGCCAACTGCTGGTTCCTCTACCTTTCCTTGGTTTACTTACATATATATGTGTGTATACACACACACACACATTTTTAAAATTTATTTTACTTAATTTATTTTATTTATTTTTTTTAAGAAATATTTTTGCTATAGAGCATATGCACTTGCCAAAGAGACGGAGACAGAAAGCGAGAAATCACCCCCCAAGGGGGATGGTCATGCCGCAATCCCTTCTCCTCCATTCTTCTCTTGGGATCTTGGGCATGCATGCACGCGTGCTCAGCATGAAGTTAAGCCAACAGGTCCAGGACTCAAACTGCAGTTGACTATGTGAGAATCCAGTGATGTAACCGTTACACTATCTGCTGTTCCCTCAGCATCCCAATGTTAGAAAGATATCCACATGGAACTGAAGATAACTTGGCAGCAGGATTATGGTTGGGCCAAGTTTGAATTCTGCTCAACTTGTTACTTATGGTTTTTATTAACAAATAATATGTCGGTGGACATTACAGAATAAATATTTGGTGATTTTCTTAAGGTAAATTCTTAGAAGTAGACTTTCTGGCATCCAAAGAAAATTTTCAGGGTTCTTATCTGTCTAGAGAAGCATAAGTCAATTTAGAGGGCTTATTTGCCCTTAGCCTCATTAAAACCCTAAGTGGTTGGTTGGTCACGTTGTTGTTTTTTTCTTTTTTTTTTCTTCTTTTTTCTTTTTAACCAACAATTTGGTAAGGAAAAGAAAGTTCTTATAAATTTGCATTCTTTTGCATATTTTATTTAAATAAAATCTTACCTCATGTTTATCAATTTTGTGGCTTTTTTTTTTTTCTTTTTTGTAAATTAGCTTTTTAGCTTTGTCCTTTACCTCTTTGTTTTTTTTTTTCCTATTGGGATATTTGTCCTTAATGATTTTTTAACCTTTTCATAGTAAGGTTGCTAATTTTATATTAACCCAAATTTATTTTAATAAAGTTGGAAATATGTTGACTTACTGTGCATGCATGTGTTTTTATTTTATCTCCTCTTCCTGCTTAGTTTACCTAAAGCAGTAAAAAGAAGAATTAATGCATTGAAACAGCTTCAAGTGAGATGCGCTCATATAGAAGCTAAGTTCTATGAAGAAGTCCATGACTTGGAAAGAAAGTATGCGGCATTATACCAGCCTCTTTTTGACAAGGTAGAGAGCTATATTAATAAGTTTTATTTGTAGATTTTGAATAGTTTAGGTAAAACATACAGATTTACCCAGTGAATCATTTTATGTTTTTCTTTAAGCCTTAAAACGTAGAATATTAATATAACAGGTAGAAAACTATCTGCATATGCATTGTTTATAAACTCAGTAGTTTTGAACTAATTTTAACCTTTGTGTTTCTAAAAAACATAATTCTAAATGAGATCTCTTTATTATGTAGAGAAGAGAATTTATCACTGGTGATGTTGAGCCAACAGATGCGGAATCAGAATGGCACAGCGAAAATGAAGAGGAGGACAAATTGGCTGTAAGTCTGTTTTATTATTTTTTTTTTTAAAAAGAGTGTAGCTTTGAGTATAACTTGTGTTCTATGTTAATACTATTAGAAATAGAAACTTTTAAAATGTTTGTAAAGAGTTATTTATTTATTTAATTCCATTTGTTATTATTATTTTTAATTTGACCAGGCAGAGACAGACAGGTAAAACGAGAGAGCAAGCCACCAGGTCCAGGACTCAAACTGTGGTTGGCCAGGTGGGAATCCTGTGTCTTTAAACCACCATGCCACCTGCTGGCCCCAGAAACATGTTTTGATGCCAATATTAGGTGCCCCTCCATTAGTTTAGGATATTAAGTTTCTTTTGATGCAGGTATGGCATCTGACATTTCTTTCTGTCTGTCTTTCTATTTTTTTTTTTTTTTTTTAGAATTATTTAATTTTTTTATGTACTCATTCATCTTTATTTTAATTTTACCAGAGAGAGAGAGGGAAAGTGAGAAAGCAAGCCACCAGGTCCAGGACTCGAACTGTGGTCAGCCAAGTGAGAGTGTACCACCATGCCACCTGCTGGTCCTGGCATCCGACATTTCTGACAGAGAATAGAATAAGAAACAGCTCCTCTACTCAGTTACCTTTTTGCTATTGTGTACTGAAATAGAGAGTGAACAAAGATTAGACTATCAGTGAAAGTCTTGGTTGAGAGAAAGCAGAGCTCAGAGAAGGTAGATGTGTGCTTGTTAAGTGTATGTTAATTTTTACTAGCTATGTGTTTTCTTGGGGGGGAGAGGTTTTTTCCTATAGGGCACATGTGCTCGCCAGAAAGACAGACAGAAAGCGAGAAATCACCCCCCAGGTGGCATGGCCATTCTGCAATCCCTTCTCCTCCATTGGAATCTTGGACACACACACACACACGCCTGGCGTGAGTTTAAGCCACCGGGCCTGGAACTCGAACCACAGTCTGCTACATGGGAGTCCAACGACATAAGCATTATGTTAACTGTTGGTCCCTGCTATATAGTTTTGATCTTTAAAAAGATACATACTAGAGGACTTTACCTACTTGAACCTATAGCTGTGGTTTGGCATACATAACAGTTGTGCATTACCTAGGGAAGGGGATACGTTGTCAGAAATGTGTTGTTAGGTGACTTTGTTGTGTAAACATCCAGGAGTGTACTTACACAAAACTGTAGTATAACCTACCATAGAACTAGGCTGTAGGGGACCAACAGTTAGCATTCTGGCTCTGGACTCCCACGTTGCTGGACTCCCACATAGTCAACCGCGGTTCGAGTCCCAGACCCGGTGGCTTAAACTCACGCCGGGCACGTGTGCGTACGTGCCCAAGATCCTGAGAGGAGAATGGAGGAGAAGGGGTTGTGGCGTGGCCATCCCCTCTAGGAGGTGATTTCTCGCTTCCTATCCCTCTCTCTCTCTCTCTGTCTGTCTGGCGAGTGCATGCGCCCTATAGCAAAAACCTCTCCAAAAAAAAAAAAAAACAACAAAAAAAAACAGAACTAGGCTGTGCAAGGGAACTTTAAAAAGGTCATGGCTACAGGAAATTAAAATACAAATTTATCATGGCCAGGAGGTGGTGTGGTGGCTAAGGACTCTGGGCTCTCACATGCTTGACCATGGTTTGAGTCCCGAACCTGGTAGCTTGCTTTCTCATTTTTCTTTTCTCTCTCTGTCCCTCCCTGCTCAAAGTAAAATAAATAAAGATAAATAATTATTTTTTAAAAAGTTTATTTGGCCAGTAGGTGGCATGGAGGTGAAGGCAGCTGGATTCTCACATGACCAAACTGCATGGTTCGAGGCACAGAATTGGTAGCCCAAAAGACACATCTGGTACATGTGTGTGCCTGCCCATAATCCTGAGAGGAGGGATTGTGGTGTGGCCATCCCCCAAGGGGGGAATGGCTATTCATTTCCCCTCTCTCTCTCTCTCTCTCTCTCTCTTTCCAGCAAGCACACACATGCCCTGTAGGGAACTAAAGGAAAAAAAGTACGAATTTATTTTGGTGCACAAAATTTTTTAAATCTGTGCATAGTTTTTTCACAATGTGCATTTTCCGTGAACTCTTTAAAGCCCCCTTGTCAGGGTCCCTCTCTCTGTATTTTTTTTTTTTAAGTTTTTTTTTTTTTTTTTCTCCTATAGGGCGTGTCACCCCCGACCCCCCGGTGGGGGATGGCCATGCTGTAATTCCTTTTCCATTCTCCTGTTGGGATCTGGGGTATGCACACCTGCGCACCTGGCGTGACTTTAAGCCACCAGGGCTGGGACTCAAACCACACTTGACTACGTCGGAGTCCAGCGATGTAGCCATTACGCGGACTACTGGTCCCATCTGTCTCTCTCTCTGGCCAAGTGCATGCGCCCTGTAGCAAAAACCTCTCCCCCCACCAAAAAGAAAGACCCCTTGTCTTATGGGATAATTTTATGAGACTATTGTTATAAATGTAGTTTATTGTTGATCATAATATCATTATGTAGTTCTTGACTGCTGTTACAATTTGGTCCTTATGACTCAAGAGTAATCTGCTGTTATTTATTTTAGAAACCGTAAGTGATTGAATGAATGGTCATTGCAGTCTATTTGACAATGCATTCAGAATTTCCTGGTTTGATTTAGTATATGTTTAACCTTCCTCATCTACCTTTTCCCTTGGGCCATGATCTTACAAGACTCCCTTCCACATTACTGTCCAGCAGTTTCTCTGGTCACCACCCTGATGTTCACATGGTACCTGTGTGCCAGCTTTTTTTTTTGGAAGGTTTTTACTATAGGGCGCATGTGCTCGCCAGACAGACAGAGAGACAGAAAGCGAGAAATCACCCCCCAGGGGGGATGGCCACGCCACAATCCCTTGTCCTCCATTCTCCTCTGGGATCTTGGGCACACACGCACATGCTCCTGGCCATGAGTTTTAAGCTGCCAGGTCCGGGACACGAACCGCTGTTGACTACGTGGGAGTCCAGCGACATAGCCATTACGCCAACTGCTGGTCCCATGTGTGTCAGCTTTTATAGCTGTCTCCTTAATAGCTGAACAAACAGGCTACTGAGTGGTTTTTTTGTCTCAGTTTTCAATTTTTACCAGAGCACATTTCTGCTTTGGAGAGGAGAGAGCATACCTCTTTGGGGAATAGTCACGCCGCAACCCTTGCTCCTCCATTTTGGGCACACATACATATGTACTTAGCATATTTCTCAAGCTACTGGATCTGGGACTTGAACCATGCAGTCCCCTAGGGGATCCAGCCACCTTAGTTACCATGCAATGGGCCAGGCCACTGAGCAGTTTCTTGTTGCTGAAGGTAGTGTTGTAGTCAACTTTACTTTTTTAAGATTTTACCATAGGACATGTACACTTGCTGGAGAGCCAGATAAAAGAGAGCAACAGTGAGAGGGAAAGTGAGAAATATCTCTCTCTCTCTCACACCCATCCACACACACTCACACCCCAGTGCAGATGTCCACACCACAATCACTTCTCTCTGTTCTTCTCCTAGAATTTGGGGCACACATGAACATGCCCCAGTGTATTTTTCAAGCTCCCAGGTCTGGGACTCGGAATTGCAGTTGGCCATGTGGAGTCCAACGCCTTCACTACCATGCCATCTGCTTGTTCCATGTAGTAAATAAACATTCTTAATTTCAACTTCCTTTTTTCCCATCTACATTTTAGCCAGAGATCAGATTTTTAATTCAGATTAACTTAATTATCCTTAAACTGGATTTTTTTTTAAACCTAAACTGTAATGGATGTTTTGCACATTAGTGTTGTGTCTCCTCAAGTCCAATGCAGAGTCTTCCAAGTCTGTGTCCAGTGATGGGAGGTTGTTCTCAGGCACCTAACAATGACAGCACAGAGTAGCTTTTCTGATGGCATTTAGCCACTTTAGCTTTTCTGCCCCTCGGTGGGAAATTATATTATGGAATTGCATCTGGATTAATATCTCATGCTTTTTTCCTCAGAATTATTTGGAAAGCATCATATGCACATGTTTTAGAGGTATAGGTTCAGAATGGAATTTTTTTAGAATTATTTATTTATTCCTACTTTTCCAATTTTGGCCAGAGAGAGACATAGAGAGTGCAAGCCGCCAGGTTCAGAACTTGAACCATGGTCAGCCACGTGAGAATCCAGCGTCTTTAACTACCACACCACCCGCTGGCCTCCAGAACGGATTTTTAAGTATGTTTGTTTCTTCCATGAGCAAGGAAAAGCCAGATGACACACCCATTAGGGTCTTGGTACCATGATCTATCCTGAGCTTCAGCCAGTCCAGGTTCATGGGCATGAGCAAGTCCAGCATACTCGGGAAGGTCTCTAGACATGAATCTGGACCCTTTCTCTGTGGATCAGCTATGAAGAGCAGCAGTGACCCCAGAAGGAATTTAATTTTCTTTTTAAGATCTTTTATTTGTATTTTATTCAGATAGAACATGCATGTGAAAGAGTGAGAACCATTCTCAACCGTGGTCATGCTTCAGTCCCCATTGGGAACTTGGGCAAGTACTTGGATGCCTGGCATGTTTAGATCAACGAGGCATGGGACCCAAAATTTGTGGTTAGCCATGTTTTTTTTTTTTTTTTTTTAACTTTATTTATTATTATCATCATTTTCCAGTTTGACCAGAGAGAGACAGAGAGAGAGGGAAAGTGAGAAAGCAAGCCACCAGGTCCGGGACTTGAACCGTGGTCAGCCATGTGGGAGTCCAGCACCTTAACCACCACGGCATCCGCCAGCCCCGGCCAAGTGGTTTTTAACACTGCAGTTTAGTATGCTACTGACTGCCACAGAGTAGCATTTAAAAACATTATTATTTCTAATTTGTTATAGGGCACACGTGATTACCACAGAGAAATGGGTGTCGTGGGGGTGGTTGGAATGAGAAAGCAAGCTACTGGGTCTGGGACTCAAACTATTGACTTTGTGGATGCCCAGTACCTTCACCACCCAGTACCTATGCCACCTTCTGGCCTCACAAAATGAGTTTTTATAGATGTTTGTACAGGATTCTGAAATTATATTTGCTAACATATAATGTATATTTGCTAATATATAATATATATTAGCTAATATATGAGTCATTTGTTAATTTGTCTTTGTGTGCGTTGGTTTTTTGGTATGTGATAAGTGTTATATTCTGTATCTTTATTCTTTTAGGGAGACATGAAGAATAAAGTAGTTATAGCAGAAAAAGAAGCAGCAACAGCTGAAGAGCCAAATCCCAAAGGAATTCCGGAGTTCTGGTTTACCATCTTTAGAAATGTAGATATGCTAAGTGAATTAGTCCAGGTAAGAAAATCTCTATGTGTGACCATCAGGGGGGATTCTAGATCCCACATGGCTGTGTGTGCTGTTGAAGTTGCATATTTGGTGGCTTGAAAAGCATAACAGGAGCACACGTGTGCATACGCAGAATCCTGAGAGGAGAATGGAGGACAAGAGATTGAGCCATGACCATCCTCCTGGGGCGATTCTCGCTTGCCTTTTCTCTCTGCCTCTCTAGCAAGCACATGGATCCTATAGCAAAAATAAAACCATTTGTCTGGGTGTTTAGAAGTTACTCTTAATGGAAAGGCATTGAGTGTGGGCAGTAGCCTAGGTGAGCCACCTGATCTCACAGGGAAGGTGTACTCACTGGTAGGGGTCTGTGCCATCTTTTGCAGTTCTTTGGGGTCAATAGGGGCTGACAACACTTTAGCCTGGGCCATAGCTTGTGAGTCACTTCTTTCCACCTTCTGCATTGTGCTATTGCCTGACCCTTAGAAAGCATGTTTCCCCATCTCTACCGTGGTAGAACTAGTAGGCTAGGAATGAGAATAAGAGACAAGAGTGGAAGGATTAATATTCAAGGATAGAGGTTTTGTATACGGATGGTTTGTGTGTGTGTCTGTCTACACATTTGTGCTTTGGAGAGGAGGGAACACACCTCTTTGAGGAATAGTCATGCTGCAATTCTTTCTCTTCCATTTTGGTCACACATACACACACATGCACACACACACACACGCTTCTTACTATATATTTGAAATAGGCCTGTTGTACAGCCTTGCTGATTGTATTAACATAAAACAATAATTTGAGAATATTTTCTGATCAATTCTTTTGAAAATATCTCTATTGGGGCCAGCAGATTGCATAGTGGTTACATCACTGGACTCCTATGTGACTGACCATGGTTGGAGTCCCTGATCTGGTGGCTTAAAACTCAGGCGTGGCATATGTGTGTGTGTGTGCATGCCCAAGATCCTGGGAGGAGAATGGAGAAGAAGGGATTGCGGCGCAGCCTCCCCCCCTTGGGGGGTGATTTTTCATTTTCCCTCTTACTGTCTGTCACTCTGTCCGTCTCTCTCTCAAGTGCCTTAAGGCAAAACTCTAAAAAATAAGTCTGTTTTTTATAAGGGAAAAATAAAAAGCCTGCCCATGGCTTGATGGTCAAGGCTGCTGAATCTCACTTGGCCGACTGCACGATTTGAGTCCCAGACCCAGCAGATGCATGTGCATCTGACATGTATTTCAGTCTCAAAAGAAGAGAGAAACAGAGATGGGATTGCATTATGACCATACTCCATGAAGGGTACGCGCTCGCTCTCTCCCTCTCTCTCTCTCTCGGGAACACGCATACTTGGGCAAGTTTGAAAGGAAAGAAAAGTCCTGCCCTAGGTCTTATTAACTGACTGTTATCTGGGCTCTTGTTGTTCCAGGGTCCACAGAGGCAGCCATGCCTGTATTCAGGCTCACTCTGGATAGCTCTGAGCTCTGTTCTTATGTCAACACAGTATCTCTAGGGTCAGGGTAGCCACTGTGTCTTGTATACAACTGTATTGTAATTTGCATAGGATTTACAAATACATTTTTCATAGGTTTTAGAAATTTACTGTGTTGCTGCCTCTGCTGCCTGTCCTTTTTTTATTTTTGTTTTTGGAGAAGTTTTTGCTATAGGGCACATGCAATCTGGAAAAACAGAGAAAGACAGAGAGACAGAAAGCGAGAAATCAATCCCCCTCTCTCCAGGGGGGATGGCCACACAACAATCCCGTCTCCTCCATTCTCCTCTCGGGACCTTGGGCACGCACGCACATACGCCTGGTATGAGTTTAAGCCACCGGGTCCGGGACTAGAACCACGGTCAACTACATGGGAGTCCAGCCACAGCCATTACGCCAGTTGCTGATCCCTCTGTTGTCTATATGTTTATCAACTGTGTCCTAAGCTGAAATTCAGGAAATGACAGAAAGAATAGTATATTTCTTATTATTCTAGCCAGGGAAACTTTTAAAATAGAATAGCTGCGGGACCAGTAGTTGGTGTAATGGCTATGTCGTTGGACTCCCATGTAGTCGCCTGCAGTTCGAGTCCTGGATCCGTTGCCTTAAATTCATGCTGTGTGCGTGCGATCCCAAGAGGAGAAGGGATTGTGGACTGGCCATCCCCTCAGGGGTGTGATTTCTCACTTTCTGTCTTTCTGACGAGTGTACATACCCTATAGCAAAAAACCTCTTCAAAAAAAAAAAAAAAAAAAGAGGGAACCAGCAGTTACCCTTAATGGCTATGTCTCTGGACTCCCATGTAGTCGACTGTGGTTCTCCTCCCGGACCCAGTGGCAGTGGCTTCAAACTCAGGCCAGGCGCATGTGCGTGCATGCCCAAGATCCCAAGAGGAGAAGGGATTGTGGCGTGACCATCCCCCCGGGGGGTGATTTCTCGCTTTCTGTCTCTATGTCTCTCTCTGTCTGTCTGGCGAGTGCATGCTCCCTATAGTGAAAACCTCTCCAAAAATAAAAGAATAGCCTTAGTTTTCCTGTTCTGAGCTTCCTTTTCATTTGAAAAGGTGGGATTTTAAAAGGCCACACTTTCTTCTTCTCCTCCTCCTCCCTGATACAGGGCATGCATGCTGCAAGTGTACTTACTAGAGAGAGACACAGATAGAGGGAAAGTGGAAAAGCAACCACCCCTCCCTCTCAGGGAAGATGGCACACTGACATTCTGTCCTTGTCAAGTAACAGCCTCCAAGAAGTAACCCAAATTTGCTCACTGACTATAAATCTTAGGGTGGTAGCAGCAAGAAGTCAGGTATTTTTCTGCAACACAAGCCTACCAGGCCAGTTATTTAGTGATCCAGGTACTAGTGTGGCTGTTGATTGGTAGCATGGTCTGGTTTTGAGAGAGCAGGAGTCCAAGACCAGCAGATGTCGTCATAGTTATATTGCTGGATTCCCATGTAGTTTGAGTTCTGGACCCAGCAGCTTAATTAAAGCACACGCTGTGTGCATGGGCGTGCATGCCCAAAATCCCTAGAGGAGAATCGAGGGGAAGGAATTGTGGCATGGCCATCCTCCCTGGGGGGAGAATTCTAACTTACTTTCTCCCTCTCTGTCTTTTTTGCGAGTACATGTGCCCTGTAGCAAAAATCTCTCTGAGTGAAAAAAAAAGGGCAGAAATCTCAGTTGGCCATATGTTAGTGAGGTGTCAGTCCATTCTCCCCAATACCTCTCTATATTAGTCATTGCTTCTGTATTAGAGCCCCCTGCTGTCTGGTTCTGCATCAAAAACTTGATTTCTCATGCTGATGTGGCCCCCTTTTAAAACTGCCTAGCTAGTTATTTGGTAATTTGGGCATTCATATTTTTTCATTCTGATTTTTTTTGGGGGGGGGCGGTCTATAGAGACTTGCTAGATAACCTTTTTGTTTGTTTGACTATATCAAAAGCCTTTAAAACCAGGAAGTTGGCAATTATCACATTCAATTTATTTTTTATTTATGTATGTTTTTAGAGAGTCAGAATTTTGCTAAAAGGTTCATTTGCATGCCAGAGACACACAGAGAATAATAGAGAGAGTGAGATGTCATCCCCTGGGGGGGATGGCCACATTGTAGTCCCCTCTCCTTTATTCTCCACATGGGATTTCGGGCACACATACACACATACCGAGTGTGACTTTAAAGCCACCAGGTCTGGGACTAAAACTGCAGTAGGTCATATGGGAGTCCAGCAGTTAGTGTAATGGCTATGTTGCTGAACTCCCATGTAATCGACCATGGTTCGAGTCCTGGACCCAGTGGCTTAAATTCACGCCAGGCGTGTGTGCGTGCGTGCCCAAGATCCCGAGAGGAGAACGGAGGAGAAGGGATTGCAGTGTGGTCATCCCCCCAGGGGGGTGATTTCTCGCTTTCTGTCTCTCTCTCTTTGTCTGGTGAGCGCACATACCCTATAGCAAAAACCTCTTAAAAAGAAAAACTGAATGGAGCTTCAAGAAATTATTAGGTTCAGTCTCCAGACCGAGGCTAAAGAATTGAGTCCATTACCTGTCACTAGTGTATGATCATAACAGTTCGAGTCTTGTTATATATACCTCTCCTGACTTTCTAAAATGTCAGATATTGGTAACTTTTGAGTTTAAATAGTCATCACTTATAAAAGCATATAGCCATATCTAAGAGCTGTAAAAACTTCTTTGTGCCTGCAAGTTAGAGCTTAGACATGATTTGGAAGGCTTTGTAAAGAAGTGATATATGTATTGTGATTTTTGGTACTTAATTGCCAGAGGCAGGGAACTAGGTGCCAAGAACAGTGGTTCATCTAGTCTTCTGATTTCCTAGCTTCTGCTGCTGTCTCCTGAGACACTGAGGACCAATAGTCTCAGTTCGTGGCTTTTTTTTTTTTTAATAGAGGTTTTTGCTGTAGGGTGCGTGCACTCGCCAGACAGAGAGAGACAAGAGAGACAGACAGAAAGCAAGAAATCACCCCCCAGGGGGGATGGCCATACTGCAATCCCTTCTCCTTCATTCTGGCATGAGTTTTAAGCTACCGGGTCTGGTACGCGAACCTTGGTTGACTACGTGGGAGTCCAGCAACATAGCCATTACGCTAACTGCTGGTCCCTCAGTTTGTAGCTTTATTTATTTATTTATTTTTGGGAGAGGTTTTTGCTATAGGGCATGTGCACTCACCAGACAGACAGAGACAAGAGAGACAGACAGAAAGCGAGAAATCACCCCCCAGGGGGAATGGCCTCGCCACGATCCCTTCTCCTCCACTCTCCTCTCGGGATCTTGGGCATGCATGCACACGCGCCCGGTGTGAGTTTTAAGCCAGTGGGTCCGGGACGCGAACCGCGATCGACTACGTGGGAGTCCAGCGACATAGCCATTACGCCAACTGCTGGTCCCAGTTTATGGCATTTTTGACATCTGTCTGCGTTAACTAGTGGAGGAAAGCAAGTGAGGGCCTCTGTAGACAGGCAGATGTAGAAGGTGCTGCCCTTGTTGCTGACATTGATTTTTCCATGTCAGAGAAAGAGCTGCTAATACCTGACATCTTATTGCTGCCACCCTAAGATTCATAGTCAGTGAGCAAATTTAGGGTATTCCTCAGAAGTTCTTACTTGACAACTTGAGGCGGTAAGTGATCTGTGCTACTTGTCAAATTGTCCAGCTCAGACTGAACAGAATGTCAGCATTGCTAATTATCCAATAACTGGGAGTGTTTGCTACCCTGAATCCTTAATGAGACTATATACACTGTTGTGTTTTGTTGCCAGAGAGCATGTACTTGCACCAGAGACAGAGGAATAGAGAGAGAGCATCCCCCTCCCTCTGCAATGGGACATAGGCACACATGTATACATGCCTGGTGTGTTTCTCAAACTGCTGGGTACAGGATCCAAATGGCATAGTCAGCTGTGTAGGATCTGACTGTCTTAACTGTCAGGCCACAGAGCTGACCTGAGATATGTATTGTTTTGAACAAGCTCATTGGAGGGGGCCAGTAGGTGACTGACGTAGTGGTTGAGGCGCTGGACTCCCATGTAGTCGACCGTCGCTTGCATTGGTGGTTCAGTGGTAGAATTCTCGCCTGCCATGTAGTCGACCGTGGTGTGAGTCCAGACCCGGTGTCTTGAGATCACACTGGGCATGTGTGCATGCATGCCCAGAGTCCCAAGAGGAAAGGGAAGAGAAGGATTGTGGTGTTGCCATCCCCCCTGGGGGGGCGGGTGGTGATTTCTTGCTTTCTGTCTCTCTGGCAAGGGCACGTACCCAGTAACAAAAAACTCAAAAAAGAAAGTAACAGCTATTTGGAGATGTTTTCTTTTCTTTTTTTTTTTTTTTTGGCTAGGAATATGATGAACCAATCTTGAAACACCTACAGGATATTAAAGTGAAATTTTCAGACCCTGGACAACCTATGGTAAGTACTGACTGTGTAAGCCCTTGGTCAGTGTCAGAAAAGATCAAGCCACTAAGAGTGAGAGACTTGGAACCAGGCAAGAAATCCAAACCTGCCATTGAATGTACTGGGCAACCCTGGGCATGACTGCTCACCAAAATGGTAGATTTGGTGCCATACTGCCTTTTTGTGCCTCACCCAGCTCTGTAGTTGGGAGTCTGAGCTGGACAATTTGACAAGTAGCACAGACTACTTAGCACCTCAAGGCCATGGGTCTGTGTAGTGACTGATGCAAGAGTTCAATCAGTTTTGACTCTAGCCATGCCAGGCTTCAGTGTGAGTGTTTTCTCTGATGTGTGGGATAATGTAATTTCCCATAGTCTCAGAAGTTTGCATAAGTCTAATATATATTTAAAAGTTTAAAAGGAGGGGAGTATATACACAAATATAAGTAGCACTTTTTAGAGAAATCCAAGATACTAATGAGAGAAACCTACCAGGTTTTACCCTAAAGAATAATTGCAGGTACTATTATACTATTTATGTTAGTGGGGCACATCTCCCTGCTAGTTAATAAGATACACTTGCCTTTACTTTCATATGAAGAACTGTAGCACTGGTCTTGAGATTATGCTGTCTTAATTCTGTCTGGTTCTTCCAAGGAGCACTGTTCGTAACCTGTTAACCTGGCCGTAGCTAACGGGTTCCATTCCAGTGCTACAGCATTTCCAATGTCACATGACTGACTGACGGGTGGCTCTCAGTTTCAGGTCTTGGAGACAAAAGCTGTATGAAGGGCAATGGGTTTGGGATCTTTGGGGTAGGAGTTGGGACCTTGGACCTAGGATTGATCTCTTCCTATTTCAGAGCACTGGGCCACAAGTAGTGACGGAGGGTCAGCATAAGTAGGTATCTTTATTGCAGGTCCTGCAAGTAATTCAGGACAACGGAGTGGGACAGCCGTATCTCCCTTCTACTTTTTCCTCCACTATGAGCGGTGACATTCAGCTGTCCTTTTGTAGATGGGAACAAGTGTGTTGGGAGTCAGGAGTGGTATCTGTCCACCGACTGAATTGGCCTGCTCTCTCCTGCTCCACAGAGGCTATAGCAACATGTTCCCTGAGTGCCTTCTTCCTTTGCTTTTAGGCTTTTACCATAGTGCCCCCTAGAGGAGTCATTCAGACTCAGTTTGCTAACCTGGGGCAATACCTTTTTCCTTTCTTTTCTTTCTTTCCTTCTTTGCTTGCTTTCTTTTCCTCCCTCCCTCCCTCCCTTCCACCCTCCCTTCCTTCCTTATTTCCCTCTCTCTTTCTTCTTTTCTTCCTTCCTATTGGATACCTGTTTGATTTCCTAGGTCCATTTTCTTTCTCAGCCCGTTTCTCTTTTTTTTCCTCCATCTCATGGGGCTTATAGACTTGAGCCTTGTGCTAGAATGTGGGTCAGTCATCTTTTCCTCTTTTTACTCCTTCATTATAAAAGTCATGTGTTTATTAACTGTAGAAAGCAGAAAATCCAAGCAAATGTTAAAGAACACTATACAAACCTCCATCTTTAAATAATAATTCTCAGGACCAGCAGGTAGTATAATTAAGGTGCTAGACTCCCACATGGCCAGAGGCAATTCAAGTATTGGACCTGGTGGCTTGAAAATTACACTGGGTTCAGGTATGTGTGTGCCCAGAATCCCAGGAGGAGAGTGGAGAGAGGATTGTGGTATGGCTATCCCCCCTAGGAAGTGACTTCTCACTTTCCCTCTCATTGTCTCTCTCTCTCTCTATCTGGTGAGCACATGCACCCTATGACAAAAAACTAAAAATAATAATGATGATTCTCAAAAGCTTTGTGAATTTGTCCATAGATTTTTGTTTTGTTCTGTTTGGTTTACTCCATAAGTGAGAGAGACAAACACTGCCAGTAGGGTCTCTGTTGTAATCTAACCCCAGTCTAGGCTGGGCTGGATCAGAGGCATATCTGTATACCTGGCATGTAAATCTAGTCTTTCCTATGTGTGTCCAGTTGTCCCATTTACCCCCTGCCAACCCTTAATAGTTTTTTCTTTTTAATTATCAGAGGGCATTTGTGTGCTTTAGAGAGAGGGAGAGTGCACCAGCTAATGGCGTATGTCATACCACAAACTCTTTTCCCTGTCTCCATCCTGTTGTGATTGGGGTTCATGCACACACACACACACAGAGTATGTTTTTTCATGCTGCCCAGACCAGGACTCAAACTGGTCAAGTGTCTGGCTCTCTTAACCACTAGGCTGTAGAGCTGGCACATATTTTATATGTTTGAGGTATGAAATATCTAAGGAACTAGAGTTAGAAAGAAAAACAAAACCTTGGACCAGCAGATGGTATGACGGTTACATTGCCAGACATCCACATAGTTGATGATGATTAGAGTCCCAGACCCTGTGGCTTGAAACTCACACTGGGTATATGTGCATCATGCCTTAAATCCCGAGATGAGAATGGAGTAGAAGGGATTATGGTATGGCATCTGCCTGGGGAATGATTTTTCGCTTGTTGTCTCTCTCTTCGATGAGTACACATGCCCTGTAGCAAAAAATCTGTCTGAAAGAAAACAAAACTTCCTGGCTCCAGCCTGGTCAGTATGTTTGCAGGTCCCTTACCACTCTAATTCCCTTCTGCCAAAGGTCATCTACCTGCCTAAATGCTACAGGCATGATACATGCACAGTCACACTGCTGCCATGTTACACAGGCTGGGCTGCAGGGAAGCAGGTGTTCTCTAATTATCAGATTCCACCATTTCCCTCATCCTGTGTTGTTGTATTAAGAGTGGCCTACATGGGGATCAGCAGGTAGCATAATGGTTATGTCACTGGACTCCCGCATAGTCAACCATGGTTCAAATTTGGGACCCAGTGGCTTAAAACTAGTGCCTGGGGGCCAGCAGGTAGCGTTTTGGTTAAGGGTTCTAGACTCCCACATGGCCGAACAAGGTTTGAGTCCTGGACCCGGCAGCTTGCTTTCTCACTTTCCCTCTTGCTCTGTCCCTGTCTGTTCAGATTAAAAATAAAGTGGCTTAAACTCACACTGGGCGCGTATTTGTGCGTGCCCAGGATCCCAAGAGGAGAATGGAGGAGAAGGGATTACGGCATGGCCATCCTCCCTGGGCAGTGATTTCTCTCTGTCCCTCTGTCTTTCTGGTGAGAGTATGCGCCCTATAGCAAAAACAACTCTCAAAAAACAATTATTTTTAAAAGAGAAATATCTCCAGGGAGGGGGGAATAAACCCCAAAACTCATGCATGGCATGTGTTTATTACGCATGCCCAGAATCCCAAGAGAAGAAGGGATTGTGGCATGGCCATCCCCCCAGGTTGCGATATCACTTTTTGTGTCTGTCTCTCCAGCAAGCACATGTGTACTATGGCAAAAATTTCTCTTGGGACCAACAGTTGGCGTAATGGCTATGTAGCTGGACTCCCGCATAGTCGACTGCAGTTCAAGTCCTGGACCTGGTGGCTTAAACTCAAGCTGGGCACATGTGTGTGCATGTCCAAGATCCTGAGAGGAGAACAGAGAAGGGATTGCAACATGGCCATCCCCCTGGGGGGCGATTTCTTGCTTTCTGTCTCCCTGTCTCTCTCTGTCTTTCTGGCGAGCGCACGCGCCCTATAGGAAAAAACTCAAAAAAAAAAAAAAAAATTCTCTTAAAAAAAAAAAAAAAGGGTAGCTTGGTTGAACCGAAGTCCGTTTTCAGTTTCTGATGGTTTTCTCAAGTTTAGATTTCCTTTTAGTGTAATTGCATCAATGAAGATGCACCTTTAGAAAGCCAAGGGGTAGGTTATTCACTTTTATCATACTTCCATTTTTAGTAATTAGGATTTTTTTCCCACTTAGTGTTTTGGGATAATTTCAAACTTAAAGCAGAGTTACAACAGTAGTACAGAAAACCCTGTCTACCCTTCACCTAGACTCTACTTGTTAGCCTTGACCACCTGGCGGTGTTTGTGGGACCCCATCCTTGTCTTCTGGGTTGGGGCATTTGGTAAAATAATCCATGTTTTACTTTGCTGGGCAAAAAAAATCTGACCATATGTTTAATTACAGTGAGATTAGATGTTTTTAGTATATTCGGCAGTGTTCTTATCTGAGGTTTTTCTGTGTGGAAATGAGGCGGCCTTATTTTTAGGCTTTCTTCTCAGGCAGTTTAAACAGTTTTTCACTCATTCTCAGTTGTGTTTGGGTTACTCTTGAGTACACAGAGGCTGAAGGGAAAAAAAAAAACATAGAAAAACATGAAGAAGTATGGTTTGATGAAATGGTCCTAAAAGGAAATAAGGGGAGAGAAAAGATAAATCTATGCAAAAGTAGTAGGAGTGATAAGGGATAAGAACAGTGCCATTTGTTAGTCTCACCCTGGTCACAACCTGAAATAGTTCTTGAATAATAGCCATCTCTATTAATGACTACTCACCTTCTGTCTTTATGCTGGTTTAAACCCTAGAGGTTTGGGAGAGGAAAAGGGGGGGATTTTGTTTGATGCTCTAATTCCCTATAGCTGCCTTTTCCTTGCTGTTAGACAAGTGATTTATCTCATTAATAACTCTAGTTCCTTACCTTACGTGTGTGTGATTTATACTTAAGTCCCTTTTCCTCTCCCTCTGTTCTTGCAGATCTTCTTACTATCCTTTCTGGAAACCCACTGGACTATCTCCCTGGTTGTGATCCCCCCCCCTTTTTTTTTAGAATTATTTATTTAATTATATTTTTTATTATTATTACTATTTTTACAGGTTATTGCCTTGGGCTTGTTATCTCACTGGAGGGAGAAAGAGATAGAAATATTGAGAGAGAAAGTGAGAAATTACCCCCTAGGGGGATGGCCCCAATGCAATCTCTTTTCCTCCATTCTCCTCCTGGGATCTTGGTCATGCATGCACACTCACCTGGAGTGATTTTCAAGCCACTGGGTCTGGGACTCAAACTGTGGTTGGCCTTGTGGAAATACAATGATGTAACTGCTACCCTATCTGTTGGTCCCTTTTATTATTTTTAATTTGACTGGAGAGAGAGAGAGAGAGGGAAAGTGAGAAGGCAAGCTTCCAGGTCCAGTATCCCAACTATCACGACACCTGTCAGCCCTAATTGTGATTTCTAAGCCCTCATGGGCCATCTCCTCCTTCTCTTATTTTAGAGTTCTTCTTCTACTTTCTTCTTTATGGAAGTGGTTTGTTTAAATGTGTATACATTTGAAGGGATCTTCAGAAAATTGAAAGTCTCCTCATGTGTGTGTTTTCACCTTTTGGAGGAATGTTTTGCCTTTTTTTTTTTAAAATAATCTTAATTCACCCCATAGTCTTGATCCTGCCCTCTTGCTTTTAACAAAGTCTGCCAGTGGGTATATGTGCTCACCAGAGAAAGGGAGACAGGGAAAAGAGCACCCCGTACTCCCATGGGGAAGGGTCATGCCACAGTCCTTTCTCCATTTTTCCATCCTGTCTAGATTTGGGGCATGCATGTACACATGCCCAGTGTTTATCAAGCCACCCAGTCCAGGACTCAGAACAGCTGAGTTGACCATTTGGGATCTAGCTGCCTTAACCACCAGGCCATAGAGTTGGCCCAGTCATCTTAATTTTTTCTCCTCATTTGATGGCTTTACCATTCTAATAAAGTGGAGATGGTACCATTTAGCAAGTCTTGCCCAGAAACCTGGCTCTTGTTTTACTTCTTCTGGACATTAACTCTCAAGGCAACTCATGGAGAATGTTATTACTTCTAGTGTGTATGTCAGGAAAGTGGAACCAGAGACATTGAGTAACATTGTACATCATACAGAGCAGGGATTTGAACCTAGGTTGTTTTCTCATTATGAACGAATCTGAGGTGTATGTCTTTGCACATATCTATATATCAAACCAGATATTTTTCTCAAATTGGAGAACTTCCTCAATAGAGTTAATGAGTCAGAGACTATATTGGGTTGCTGGAAAAGTCATGATGCATTTTTGCCTAGAAAAATATATCATGACTTTTCTGATGACCCAATACCTTTTTATTTTTTCTTTTTAGAATTATTTTATTTAATTTTATTTATTTAATTTGACCAGAGAGGGGCTGAGTGAAAGAGAGAGAAAGTGAGAAAGCAAGCCGCTAGGTCCTGGGCTTGAACTGTAGTTGGCCATGTGGGAGTCCAGCACCCTTAGTTACCATGCCACCTGCTGGCCGCATGTGCCCAGTGTTCTTTTAAGCCACTGAGGCCAGGATTCCACCACAATTGGTTTGATGGGATGCAGAACCTCATGCATAGCGATTAACTGCTGCAACATGGGGCTAGCCAAGGGAATATGCCTTTTTATTAAGTTTTTAATATTGCTAAGTTGTCCTTCATGAATCTGTTTATAGCATGGAGTGTACCTGGTATCCTGAAACACAAACTACAGTTTGCATGTGTGCAGGTGCACTTTCTGTCTTAGAGATGACATCTTACTTGGTTTTTCATTTGTTTTGTTACTTGTGAGCCATTCGATTTTATTTGTATCTGCTTGTACTCATTCTTTGCCCCCTTTTCCTATTGTGCTTATCTCTTTCAGAACTATAGAGTGCTTTGTAAATGAAGGATGAGTTATTTGACTCCTAGAAATCTCTCCTTTTTTTCCACTTTCCTCCCAAGTGGTGTTGCCTCTTTGACTGCCTGGCATGGTTCTACCAGCTGGGTGGGTGACCCAGGCTGAGAGGAAAAAGGGAAAGTGGTGGTGGGCTACTGATGCCCAGTTCATCTTTCCAGATCTCCCACCGGACCTCCCCCTACCACCACCACCACCCCCGCCCCAGCCACTTTCTTCCAAGAAATGAGGGGAGGGGTTGGGGCTTCAGAGAAAAGCTAGGATTTCTCAGGAAAGTTTGGCCTCCACTGGGGAGGAGGCAGGGCTGAGAGCGGAAGTCAGCACAAGATGCCTTCTGCTCATGGGCTGAACAAATTTTTTTCCCCAGTCCATTTTTATTTTTAAAATTTGGGTGCTAGTCTTTTTTGAGATAAAGTTTTTCTTGGGACCAGCGATTAGCATAATGGCTACATTGCTGGACTCCATTTAGTCAGCCACGGTTCGAGTCCCGGACCCGGTGGCTTAAACTCACGCTGGGTGCATGTACGTGCATGCCCAAAATCCCGAGAGGAGAATGAAGAAGGGATTGCGGCATGACCATCCCCCCTCGGGGGTCATTTTTCACTTGCCCTCTCTCTTTCTGGCAAGCTCACGTGCCCTGTAGCCAAAAACCTCTCAAAAAAAAAAAAAGAAAGAAAGAAAGAAAAAGAAAAAAGAAGTTTTTCTTGTCACGTAGGTATTCCTACTGAGCTTTTCAGTTATAGTTTCTGCGTGTGGTGGTGTGCTCAGAGAGGAGCTGATTTCCAGTAAGTCCTGTTATCCTTCAGCTCTGTTGCTAGTTTTCTAGAGATTTCAAGTGGTACTTACTCTGAGTTTCTGCTTTTAGTCTTTTGTATTAGAATTCCACTTTGAACCCAATGACTACTTTACCAATTCAGTCCTGACAAAAACCTACAAGATGAAGTCAGAGCCAGATAAGACCGATCCCTTTTCCTTTGAAGGCCCAGAAATCGTTGACTGTGATGGGTAAGCAAATACCATTCTAATTTTCTTTCTGAAACAAAAGCATATGATTTTAGAACTTTATGGGTAAGATAAAAAATTAAAAGTAAACTAGAAAGTCTTGAATCTGCTCAGAAGCCCAGGAGACTTAGATTTAAATTAAATAGTCTTTTAGTTTGGGAATACTTGCAGTACAGAACTTAAATGTGTGATGCTCGAGGGACTAGCAATTGGCGTATTGGTTACATTGCTGGACTTCCACGTCAAGTCCCAGATGTGGTGGCTTAGAACTCTCACAGGATGTGTGTGCGTGTATGCCCCAAAATCCCAAGAGGAGAATGGGGAAGAAGGGATTGTGGGATGGCCATCCCCTTTTGGGGGCAATTTCTTACTTTCTGTCAATTGGGCAAATGCATGTGCCCTATAGCAAAAAATCTCTCTTAAAAAAAAAAAAAAAGAATGAAATGAAATGTGATGCTTGAAGATGTATCATTTGCACAATCAAAGAATTGGGATGGTCTATAATTTTTCTCATTTTAATGAGGGGACTCCATAAATTGAAGTTCATAAGATTGAACTGATAAATTATGCTCAGCAGATACGTAATTGTTGAATGAATGACTGAGTCAGTCACTATTGATTCATTGATTGCTTTGGAAATTGGTAGGTACAACATAATTGCTGTTTTACTCATATCAATTTCAGTCTCTATAAATTACCAAGGAGAGAATTCAGTGTTCCATTAATTTCTCTCAGTTGGTTTGACTGTGAAATTGCTTTATCCTTAAGTTGCAGCAATCACCCTTATTCACAGAATCGAAGTACAGTCTTGTGTTAATTACATTCTGAGAGATGTGTCATTGTGTGCATGTCACAGAGTGCACTCACACTCACCTAGTGGGTATAGCCTCCTACACACCTAGGTCATATGGTATAGGCTTTTTTAAAAAAAATTATTTTTCATTTAACTTTGT